CCTGCTACGGTCTATTTGAGGTTGTATTTGAGAATGAACTAACAACAGATGAGAGGAATGAAGAGTTTCAGCTTCCAGTCTTATCTCTGTGCCTTACTGAGGGACTTTGGTGTGTTTTTTCCCCACAAAAACAGCCACAACTGAGCAGCAGGCAGAATGGATTCTTTCTGTCCTGTTTTTGTGTCAGGTCAAAAAATGTGGAAATCACTTTTCTGCACTTGAAATGTTGTCAAATGCAATTAACCAGGGAAGGGCAGAGGAAAAAAAAAAAAAGTCTTACATTTCTTTTAGTTACAAACATTGTTAGCAATTGCTTCTGAATGCAGTAGGAATTATGGCAGAAATACAGAATACGATTTCTGAAGTGAATATGGTTCTTTGTTCTCGTAATGATGGATTCAAATTAAAATTATAATCTTTAACATCTACTTTTAAATTAAAAAAAAGTATCAACTGATTGACTTTAAATTCCAGGTACAATCTTTATGCTGATAAATTCCTTCTGAAGGACAAATAAGTCTGGAAGGAAAGAATCTGTTGTGAAGCTTAGATCTTTTTCAAGGCAGCTGTGAAGAACTCATATGCCTGCCTAGGCATTTTTTTAAGGATGGGTAATGTAAAAGTAACACAAAGCACTTCTTCCAAGCAAGACTGCTAACAAGCTTAAAGACAATCCTACTCTTAAGAATGTGTTTCAGAAGATCATGGCTATACACGGAGTCTTGACTAAGGATAGGGACTTTGGCCTCCTCTGACACAGGCTCCAATGCTTTCCTGCCCAGATATCATACTTAAAATTAGCACCTGCTTAGGCCTTGAGCTAAATGAAATGAAAGCAAAGGCACATGGCAAATACTTAACCAGCCATAGTTCCACAGTTCCTATAGCGAGGCCACACACACCAGGGACCCTTTTCGAAAGCAATTTTAAATAAAGAGCGTTAGGTCAGAAATTTCCTCATTCAATAGACAGGATGCTGCAGACAAGCCAGCCACCAACCTGCCAGCAATAACAGCATGAACATCTGCATTGCAACAGTTGCTCCCTCCTAAGTATTCTGTGAATCTTTCCTGTCCGTATTCTTCAGGCATTAGTTTAAATCTTAAGACACACACAGTAGCCAGCAAGCCTGTTTCATTTCTTTCAGTCACTTGACATGAAACAAAATATTTGGCTACAAATACAGAGATTTAGACGCACAATTCTCATGGATTTGAGTTTAAAAGCTCACTGGATTTGTTTGGCTAACTCCCTTTGTACGACTCTGAAGGCAGTACCTACCTTCATAATATCTGTTGTTTTTTTTAAAAGAAAACAAAACACAGCCCCCCATCCTCTCACATCAGCAGAAACTGTTTTCTCACATGTCAATATGAAGGGCTAAATCCTGTCTTTATTTTCACTGGTGTCTTCTATTGCAAGTCTATTAAATGGTTGGATAGCTTGATAATTATGGGATGTTTTTGTACATCTCATACAATGCAGACTCTCCAGTCTGATAATCACTCTGCATCTTTGCCAAAAAAAAAAAAAAAACCAAAAAAAAAACCCCAAACAGAGCAGAGTTATCCCATTTTATTTATTTTTAAAACTAAGTAAGAAGATACATTTTAACTGAACCTGAAGGATAATGTCTTTCACATAGAAACCCATTCAGATGTATATATTTAGTTGTAAAACTCAGGGCAATCTAATGACAATATTTTTATACCTTACAGAAGTTTTACAAGGTTATTCCTTCACACACATTCTGGGCCTGACTGTTCTGTGGTTGAAGGCAGTTGCTGAATTTTGTCATGTGAAGCACAGATCTGGATGTCAGCTACACAAAAGCTGTGGCTTCTTGGATTTCAAGCATAACATGTATAATTCTCTTAGACATGCACCACTCACACACCCCCAGTTGTATCTCTGAAATGAAAGTTACTACATGACTTTACCTGAATGCTTTAGGTCTCTAGCTTTTTCTTCTGCGTTCTGACACTTAAGCTCTAGTTCCTTTTTATCTTCTTCCAAAAGTTCTAGTTGCTGTTTAAGACGACTAATCTCCTTATGCAGTGCTTGATTCTCTAGCTGCTCTTCCAATTCTTTGATCTGCAGTTGACAAACAATAGCATTCATTACAATAGAAGGTATTTTCTGTCCTTCCTTTTAAGAAATAATCCATTAGGCACAGTTATTCCCAAAAACATGGTGTTATAGTATAGGAGTGAACTACAACTCCCTGAAAAAGAACAATTTTTGAATGAGAGCTGGACAGATTGTTCTGAGAGATGTCAGAATTTTCTATTATGATCCTAATTTTTTTATTCTCCTTTTTATAATACATCTTTAGCTCCAAAGTACTTAAGCTATAACATGTTCCCTTTTTCATTTTATAGAGTTTTTAATCACATAATTAGAATTTAATTTCAAACGTTTCCTCATTTGAAGCATGAGAACATTGACATTTTTGTTCTCTTACTGACTGCTTCCACTGACAGGTTGATTATTTAAACTCCCTTGTCTCAACTCACACAGATGCCAGTGGGTGAATTATGAAACATCAGGTTTAGAGGCAGCATTCAGGTGCAGAGTGGCAGTCACTTACCGACTCCCTAAATATATACATTTTGCTCTAGCCTTCAAGAAACCAGAGGTTTTCTATGAACTGGCAATTAATCTTCCAAAATAGTCATTCAGAAGCACATGACATTACATATAGTCTTAGTATTACTGCATTGATGAAAGCACAGGAACTGTGTGCTTCTTCCTAGCATTGCTCCACCACCAGAGTTTTAAGAACATGCCTCACAACCACGGGAAAACTCATTTTCAGGCTTTCAAGTGAAGCAATGGTGATCTCTCCCAGTTAGACATTGATCTAGTCTAGTTTCAAATACACTTGTTTAGATCCCACCACACCACTGTGCAGCACTCACCTAACATTTCCTTGCTCCAGTATGTCTGGCTTTTCCCCATGTGTTTCTTTAGCAAGCGACCAGACTACTAATGTGAACTGTCTACCCTCTCACCTCCTGGTCTTCATAGCTTGTCCCCCCAAAATACCCTTTATATTACTCAACATCCAAAATATTCTCCTGTCACCTTTTTTTCACTTAATGGAACTTCACGTAATGCTTGTAATTAAGCCTGCGCTTTACTGGCATCCAGAATAAAATATTTAACTAAATCGGAGCCTTCAGGCTGAAAAACCTTCAGGTTTTGTACTCATGTCTTACCAGTGAAACAGAAGAAGGGAATCACAACGTTCTCTGAAGTTTAGTTTTTAGATTGTAAACTCTTTTGGGGGACAAGACCTCAAATAATTCTTAACAAATGCAAGAGACTTTCACAGACTTCTGGATGAGATGAAACGTAATCCTGTTTTACCTTTTGTTGGTGTTGAAGCCTCTCTTCTTCTAATGTATGGGTTAGCTTAGCATTGTCATCCAAAGCCTTCAAAAGCTGTTGATCAGGAGCAGAATTTTGCAGAAGCAATTGACTTTGCCTTTTCATCTTATTTTGTTCAATAAACATCTGCCAAAACAAAGCCCACCCCCAACAAAAACAATAGTTAAGCACAGTCTAATGTTATCCTGCAAAATATGGAAATTGGAAAGAAAACAAAGAAAATTAGCATTGTGTTAATATGGTAGACATAGAGGGGAAGAAGGTGAGAAGGAAGGAAGGGGAAAGGAAGTTTAGAGCGAAATTTGCAAGGGCTAAGCTCACACTGAAAGGAAACAGGTGTTTGCTGAGACAACCACCCACTGCTACACTTCAATTACCCCCATGTTGGCAGCATTCAGAATTTAAACACATCTCTGAATTTTGTTTCCTGGAAATAGGAACAATCTGATCCCTATTCTCAGAGCTCTGGAGAGATTAAAAGAACTCTGGGTGGAGGAAAAACGCCTATGAATTCACAAGCTACCTACTCAAACACTTCTGCAAGCTTTGGCATAAAGCCCATACTACCTCCATATGTGAATGGAGGCATGTCTTTGGGATATGAATTTCAGTCCGTGTTTGTGTAATCAGTGTATGTAACTTGCCTCAGGAAAAGGCATTTCAGGGCAATTTCAGCCTTTTACTTCTGATGCTTACATTTTTTCATCTTCCCCAGTTATATTTTTGATGTGAGGGATGGATACGTTGCAGGGGGCAGAAATAATAAAATGGTCTAGAGACATGACATTGGTAATAATATCACACATTTCTCTAGGCTTCACCTAAGAGGTGCAGAGGCTGTCAGCACATGCAGTTTCTGTAAAAGAGATCTGCTCCTTCCAGCCTGTTTAGGAACTCGGGAAAAAAAAGATTGCTTCCTGCCAAAAAAAACTCCTAGTGAATTTATTCAGCATCTTGACATTTCTTTCAGGTAGAGGGTTGCCCCCAGGCAACAAGGGTTTCCACTCTTGACAAACTCAGCTGTGCCTATTCTTACAGCAGAAATAGGGACTGGGTCACACTGAGGTCTCAGATGAGTGTGCACAGGTCAGCAAAGCATGCCACTCATGGCAGGAGAACAGAGAACAGCCTGAGAATGCAGACACTCCCTCAAACTGTAAAAAACCTGTTGTATAGCACAGCAAAAGCAGGAATATATTTTAAGAATGAAGTATTAGAAATACAAAAGTGCCATGAGATCCTTTCGGGTTCCCATACTATTTTTTCCCCAAACCAAAATTAGACACAACATATGGTTTCTTCCCATCCAGTGCTACTACTGCAATGTTACTTGATTTACTTTTTTTTTTTTAAATATAATTGAATTTTAAAGAAGCAGCAGCTGATGCAAATTTGTGGCAAGCATTCTACCCAGTGCTTTGTATGGACACTTCAACTGAGTCTTCTTAGCAAACAACTCACTCTCTCCAGCTGTACATACGGACCGAGAAGGCTGCTGACCGTGCTGAACTTTTAACTCTCAACGCAGCCTGCTTGACCCTGCGTGCCAAGAAGAGTCAATTGATGCGGCCTTAATACTAATAAAGCCTACAATGAACACTTCATTGGGCAAAGCTGTGCCATGGGGGCAGGCAATAAAAGACTGGAAGTATTCGATGAAGGGGAAATGATGAATACAGGCTCTAGTACCACACTTTGTTATAAAACAAACAAAAACAAATTTATGACAATACACAGTCTCCTGCTTTCCTGTTAAGTCAGTCAGAAGTTATTTAACCCTGACAGAAACAGCAAACATCACATTTTACCTACTGTGAACTTTCAAAGCAAAGTCAAAACTTGGGTTTCATTTTCTTGGAATCTGAAAAATAGTTTGAGCTGATAATTCCAGATTTTTGTTCCCTGAGTTTCTGACACTAAAACCAACAGAACAGTGGTAGTCCAGCCTGAGTGAGCAGAAAGCTGCTATAACCAGAAGAAATCAAGTTGCTCAACTTGAGCAGGTACTTCATCAAATGTAGAAAATTCATAGAATAGTTTAAACACCATCTAGTCCAAACCCCCTATTCACTTTGTTACATGCTCCTCTGCAACAAAATGAAAAAAATCCTCTTGAAGAACTGGGTGAAAACCTTTTCATTCAGAAGTTTTCACATGTAGCCCTGCATTTTCAATTAGCTTTATAAATTGCTTTCATGACATTGCAAATACATTCCTG